AAAGCACGTGAAAAAAATTTAGCAATCTAATAGGCTGACCACCCCAACTCCCACGACCCAAAGTCATTTTTAATAATTCATTTGAAATACCCACGTAAAGAATCACGCAACAGGGTACACAGATGAGAAATCAATGATCAACAAGCACTTTAAATCATCCAGAGAAAATGAATAAGCAATTAACTACATTGTAGAACAATGGACTAGAGTGCTTCAGCCTTGATTAATTTCAGATTTAAACATAAAAGAGCATGCTTTGGAAAGAACACGATATCTTATGAAGGTTAACTATCTCTTCAAAAATAGCACAACTTCCTTTATTTTTTGAAGCATGTGTGTCATCTTTTTATGTGCTGAGATTGAAAAGACGACATGTTTTTCGCTACAAAGGATAACAAAATCCAAGGATCATAAGGGAAAACCTGTAGTAGTTAATAAAGGAGCAAGAACGTGAATCAAATCATCACCATTGGTAGATTTCCTATCACCTCAATTAATCACATGTTCCATCTCCACTATACATTGTCCAACAAAATAACACAATGGCAATGGTGGCTTAATTGGCATGTGAACAAATTTTGAAGCTCCTGACTCTTAAAGGCCAAAACGTTTACTGCACATACTTAGATGTAGCATGGAAACTGACAATCTTGAACACTCTTTAGCCCATAAATACCTTTACGATTACCAAAATGACATGCTATATGGCTTCAACCCTTCAAAATTGGTTTTAAATAATTCAATATTCTATTTTACTTAACAGTGAACCTATCACATTTAAAAGACAAACTCACCCCTGTTGATTTCTTCTGAATGATCAACAATTGCAAAACCAAGCAAAACTCAGTTAAACACATAAATTACCTAGTAAATCAGAGCTGCTGCGGATAGGCTTAGGGAGAGACCATGCCTTCTTTTTCAACTTTTTAGTCTTCTTCACATCATCCCCCGTGGGCTTGAACCCCAGACCAAACATACCCAGATTTTCATGTAAAAACACTGGCTACATGATACCTTGCAAAGATGCACCCAGATCCCTGCCTGGCACAAAACCATTCTTCAACACGTCATTTGCTACCATGACGGTTGCAGAGGCTAGCTTTGGACCTGGAATACATTCCCCTTCCGTAACCTTCTCAACTGACCCGACTTCGAAAACTTGGTAAACCCAAAACCCCTTATCGTCTTCGGCCTCAATAAATAAGACAGATGTATCATTGTAAGCACACAAGTTCCCATCACCATGCACCATGATTTCCTGTCTATCACACTTGAACTTTACCATCTGGTGCAAAGAAGACGGGAATGTTTTGGCAACATGTATCCAAGGCCTACCCAATAGCAAATTGTAAGAGACTGCCACATCTAGTACCTGGAACTCCATGGTAAATTCAACTAGTCTTATTGTCAGTTCGAGCACGATATCGCCAACATAATCTTTTCCCCCTCCATCAAAACCTCGGACACATATATTGTTCTTGTGGATCCTCTCAGTATCAATTTTCAACTTGTGCAGAGTGGAGAGAGGGAAAATGTTTGCACTGGAACCATTGTCAACTAGCACCCTCATGACCACAGAATCTTCGCATTTCACTGTGAGATAGAGAGACTGATTATGTTCCGTACCCTCCAAAGGCAACTCATCGTCCGAGAAGGTGTTCCTGTTCGCCTCGAATATCTTGTTGGCAATCTTATCCAAATGGTTCACTATGATCTTATCAGGGACATGAGCTTCATTCAGAATCTTCATGAGGGCCCGGTGGTGCTCGTCTAAATATATCAACAATGATAGAAGAGAAATCTGAGCGAGGGTTTTTCTCAATTGTTCCACTATGGAGTAATCCTACACCTTCATTTTTCTCAAATATTTTTTCGCCACCTCTTTGGTGACTGGATTTTTCACTAGAATTGGACTATCTTTGAGTGGCTTAGCTTTTCTTAATTCCTCTGGGGCAAAGCATCTCCCCGAACGAGTCAAACCCCGAGTTTCATTAACTTCCTCTTCCACTTATTTCCCTTTATAAGTTACTATCACTCGCTTGTAATTCCATGGAACAACCTTGGTGTTGTCTATCGGCAGTTCGGTCACAGGTTTAATAATAACAGGGGCAATGCGAGCCCCTTCTACGATAATGACATGCTTACTTGCTACCCCCGGCACGACCACTTTCGGTTTTTCTTGCTTTGTTTCAACATCATCTGGGAACCTCTTCGTGACTATCACAGATGACTTATTATTGGGTGTGCTTAGCTTGTCTGTCAGCCCTTCAGCTATGGAAGATGTTTCCTTTGTAACAATTGGAGCTTTGACTGTCTTACTTTCACCGGCACGGATCATCATAACAGACTTTGAAGGCTTCTTGGGCTCCCCATCCTTATGCACTATCTCAATCATGTGCATTTCGACATGGGCTGGCAATAGATTTTGATTGATATTTGGCGCTTTCGGGCTTTGGACCACAATTAGGTTTGTATCAATAAGCTCCTGGATGGCACTCTTCAAATGCCAACACTTTTCTGTGTCGTGCCCCGAAGTATTAGAATAATATGCACATATGAGGGAATAGTCCAGGTTTTTCGGAGGGGGATTTGGTAATTTTGACTCAATCGGCCTTAGAACGTCCTATTGCCTCAACCTCTGAAACAGACTGGCGTAAGACTCTCCAAGTAGGGTGAAAGTTTGTTTCCGCTGCTACGTTTCCCTTTTATACTCCGGCCTGGGTCGAAAACTAGGACCAGTAGGGTTTTGGTATGTTTGTAGAGGTGGGTAAGGGTTTTGTGAAGATGGGGAATGCCATTGCGGGTAAGGAGGGGGGTTAAGCATATGACTGTACGTGGTGGACATGGTATTGGGGTGGCCTGACTGAATACTGAGGTTTGGTAGTGGGAAGTAGTGTTGGGGTGGATTATATGGAGTTTAGGTGTAGGTTTGAGGCTGGGGTCGAGGCTGGGTGTAATGGTGAGGGGAGCCCCTTGGGCCATGCCACGATCCTGAGACGACCATAACAACATCTTCTTTCTTCTTTTTCCCTAACACGCCCCCGGTGCCATTCTGGATTGCTTGTGTAGTTGCTTTGATGGCAAAGTAACTCATGATCTTGCTCGATTTGAGTCCTTCCTCTACCATTCCTTCCATCTTCACCACTTCATTGAAAGACTTACCTATGGCCAAGATCAGATGACCGAAGTAAATAGACTCCAAATCTTGAAGAAAATACTCCACCATTTCATCTTCCTCCATTGGAGGGTTGACTCGTGCCGCCTATTCTATCCACCAAAAAACGTACTCCCTGAAACTCTCACTGTACTTTTTCTCTATCTTAGTCAAGGACAGGCGATCTGGGACAATCTCTATGTTGTACTGGAAATGTCGAGCGAAAGCTTGGGCCATATCATCCCAAGTGTACCACTTGCTATTGTCCTGGCGGGTGTACCACTCTAATGCTGCACCACTCAGACTTTGGATAATATATGCCATCAACAGTTTATCTTTCCCATCGTCTCCCCTCATTTTGCTGCAAAATCCTCTCAAGTGGGCCACGGGGTCTCCATGCCTGTCATACAAGTCAAACTTGGGCATTTTTAATCCGACCAGTAGTTGGACATCAGGAAACAAGCACAGATCCTTATAAGCCGCACTCACTTGGCCTCCTAATCCTAGCATATTTCTTAGCAACTTCTCCAAGATCTTTACCTTCCTAAATATCTCCTCTTGCTTCGTGTTTTTGGGTGGCTTCTCAGTTTCGACAGGAAGTTCAAAGTGGGGAGTGTAGGAGTAGTGATCTGGTACTTTAAAGGTGGGCTCGGGGGCATAGTACTGGTTATCTTGGGCAATACCAGCTCACTGGAAGATCGATGGAGTGTAGAGGGCAGAGGTGCTACGAAGATAGGGGTAGCCGACGGAGCAGGGTATGTGGTTGTTTTGGCTGGTGGAGCTTGGATGGTTTGGGAAGTGGTGTCATGATAGTGGTGGTAAGGGGTGAAGCTTGGTGCGTATTGTGGGGATAGATCAACAATGAGGGGCTCTTGAGATTGAGCTAGTGGTGGGATGAAAGCAGGGTTGGCGGGGTATGACGGTGGAGGATGCCCTTTCATCCATGCTTGGTACATTTCGACCATTTGGTGCTTCAACTTATGTAACTCTTCTTTCAAACCAGGCTCAGATTCCTCCACCTCTCTCGGCGGGTCAATAACACTCGCGTCCAATTCTTTGCCAGCCATGATCACCTTGTGTTTAGAACTGGTATTATATGGGTGGCTTTCCAGAATGCCAAACAAACTAAACACCTTCTTGTACTCAACGATAATAGAAAACTTGTTAGTGTTGAAGGTTTAACAGATAGGCAACCGCACGTTTGGGATGCAATGCACCTGAATAATTAAAAGTTTCTATTATGTATTTGAACCGTTGCATGTTTCATACCGGCCTTAACTAACTCTTTTCACTTTGCACTTTCTCCTCTCTCTTTTTCTTTTCTTTTTGGCTCCTACCCTTTTTAGTCACTATTGATTTTCCCGCTTGGTTCTTGTCGCTCCCCTTTTTATTTTTTGCATTCGCTTTTGTTCTCTCGTTTTGCCATTCTTTCTTTCCACTCAATTTTTCTTTTTTCTTTTTCATTTTATGGTTACAATCGAATTCTATGGGGATTGCCTACGTATCATGATGCTGCATGAATCAGATCATTACGTAGTTCAGGTGATAAATGCGAAATAATAAAAGAAAGAAATATTTTTGGGTTTTCAAATTTTCATTAAATAAAAACATTCTGATTTTCCTCTATTACAACTACTCCATCACACAGACTTAAACACTGAAAAACCAAAACAAGACTCAAAGTGGACTAATAGACTCTAAAAGAAACTGAAATACAGACTCAAAAATAAAATCAGGAATACATAAGTGCCTCCAATACTACCCCAGGGGCCCGTGGGACATCAGTCGGTCTCGCCGCGGGCCTACGTCCCATATCTTCTTGGAGGCAATATAGGTTGTTCATTATCTAACAGACAAAAATTATCACTGCAGTGAAGAACATAGACCTGGTCATATCCTCACATTCATTGCACTTCATCACAATATAGTCAGCAATTCTTCTAATCCTCTCCCTGATGACGCCCTTCTCTTGGAGCAGGCGTCCAATTTGTTTAGATCGGGCCTCCAAAACTTGTGTGGACGTATGATTTTGCTCTTGCAATTGTTGTAGGTTTTCTTCTAGTTGTGACATTAGTGCATAGCAATGCTCTCTTTCTGCTTTAAAGTTCTTTGTTTGCTTGGCCATTTCGTTCTCAAGGGTATTGAGCTTTTCCTTCAGACCCGTGATTCCTTTGTTGTACTTTTCCTTCAGTTGTTGAACGAAACTTGCCCGTTCTTCCGCATTCCTGGACAACTTTTCTCGGGCCTTTGCTAGTTCACCCTCAGTCTTTTCCAAATCAGCCCCATAATCACACACTTTCCTTCTAAGGCTGTGGATGAGCTTTTTATCTTTTCTGCTTCTGACCGGGTTCTCAGCTGTTATTTTCATCTTCTGGATCTAGGCTTGGAGGCTTCATTTTCTTGGGCCAACCTCTTCTTTTCAACTTCATTTGCCGCGGCTTGCAATCCACTATTGAATTTAATTTTCTCTAATCTGCCCTTCTAACTTGCTTATCGTAGCCCTATAGCTTTTCTCCTTTGCTAACCAATTTCATTGCTCTTGTGCCATATCAGTGAACTGTTGTACATGGGGCCTTTTGGCGGGCCGTTCAGGCTCTTGATGGACTTGAACCCTTTTACCATACCAGGCTGTGTAGCTCGGCTCTACCTCACCTTTGGAAAAATCCCAAACTCGAGTCTGTGGCTCCAGAAACCTATACTGATGCCAAATCTGGCGAACCTTTTCTTCCGGGAATGCAGTTTTTGGACCTAGTTCAATGACTTGTCGACTCAAATCTTCATCATAAGGGACAGTTTGGTACCTGCCAAGCTGTCATAGGACCCTGTGTGGGGCATACGGCTGAATACTCTGAAGACCCATGATAACGCCCAACTATGCCTTTTAAAGGACAAAGCGGTAGCTGCAAATATAATCCGGTTTTAAGTTCGAAATCGAATTATCAGGGAAAAGACCTATCTATTACACTCTTCGGCAATGTTATTATCAACTCAATCAATCTCTAGATGCAAGATTTTTGATCAATAAAGATTGGATTTTTGTTTAACTACTACAACTACTATTAAAAACAACAGTAAGCTAAAACAAAGATAATTCAATGGTAAAAAGGTCTAGAGCAGTGATTTCCCCAATTGCTAGTTTAGGTCTTGACTCTTCCGCTATAATCTTGCTGTAATACTCTATGAGTATTAAGAGTTATGGGTTATCGTAATTATCTCTCGATCAACTACAATAATTTACTAGAGCATTCTCTCGAACTACTCTAGCTGACAATAGTTATGCAACTCTAAATTATCCCACCAAAGTTTTGTTATCTCTAAACCCACTTTTAAGTTCAAGTAATGAATCTCTTCAATTACCCAAAAGTGGTGTTGTTCAACAGCTATCTAATATAATATTCTTTCTCAAGCAATATAAGGTAATTAGTCACGATTAATCAAGGGCTCATTCAATTAATCACCATACAAAACGTAGTTGAACAATCATATCATAAAACCGGCTCGATTATAACAACTTGAGTCAAAACTTCAACCAACAATTGGTTCCATCAACCCTAGATAAGTGTTTAGCTACTCATAACAAAATAAGAGAAAACTACTAAATTGTGCATAATGTAAATTGCAAGAATTAAAAGGAGATAGAAAAACTTTAATGTTTAGTTGATCTTCTCACTCTTGTTCTTGCCTCCAAAAGTAGTCTAAAATTAGCTTAGAATCAAGTTGGGTGAGTTTCTAAAGCTTATAAGGGTTTTAGAAAAGTTTCCCCGAAATTACACTTTGGTCCTCAAACTTCCAGCTGCGTGAATAGTGCACCGAGGTCGACCGCAGTGAAAGATGACCTTTCTGCCTCACTTCATTAACCTGCCACGGTCCACTGCGGTCACGGTGGCCTTCTTGCCCAGGCTATTTATTTGCTTCTTTATGCTCGGGTACTTCTCGAGTGGGTGTTTTCTTCACATTATCGCCTCCAAAACACTCCATGTTGCTTTCTCTCATATAATATTCCCTGTGGCACAAAAGAACACTATTTAGAGCATTTTGTTGGCAATTTATCTATAAAACAACAACAAAGTATGGTCATCTTAAGGTGTAAATGTCAACTATATAGCCTACTATCAACACCCCACATTTAAATTATTGCTAGTCCTCGAACAATCCACCACACTCCATCAAAAAATCATTCCCTAAGCTTCCCGTAACGATTCACACCATGAACATTTTTACAAAAGTTGCACCTAGTAGTGAACATCCTTTACCACAAGAGTCAAACCTTCTCTGCCATGCAACATTAGCACTTACTCAAACCGCCTTATACAAGAGTCAAGACTTACCTTTCCTTTGTGAATCATATGCCCTCACATCACACCAGAGAGTAGTTCCACATATAATGATAATTAGAACAAGTGGGAACTAAGATAGACAAAATTCGCTCACTCTCAGAAAGAACATTCACATGCCACAAAGATGCACCATAGGCTTGCCCGTAGTGTAATACTCTACTAATTGAGCTCAATCAGTCTAAGATCAATAGGACTTTACTTGGTTGTAATGTAGGCTAAGGGACGAGTAGGATATATTTAGATATAGTGACTAACCTCCCTAAGCACTTTTAATACAGTTACATTAAACTTAAAGATCATAGTTGTGCCAACCAAACACTCCACCTCATTTGTTTAAAACATCCCCATCCATTAGGTGCAATTTGTACAAGCCACCACTTATCAACCATTATAATTATTTATAACCCATATATATTTTCGTGGTGCTTTTTCTTTTATGCTTCATATTTCCACACCTTTTCTCTATCTCAATGGTTCCACTCAAAACCCAAACCACACCCCACACTTTAGCTTTTGCATATTTTCACTACTATTCAAGTGCTTATTGGGAGGTAAAAGGGTTCAAACAGGAGGCTATTCAAACAATTGGGTAAGGTTTGCAATGTGGTTGCCAAAGAAATAGGCTTATAGGCTCAACAGGGTTAACTAAGATGTATTGCCTTCAGGTTGGTTTATTTTATATGCTTGGTGTGAGCACGTGATTTTTGTTTACGCGACAATCACTCCAAAAGAAATAAAATAATAAGCAAATGGTCTTGCTGTACAATTTTGGATTTTTATGTGGCACTTTGTTAATTATTTGTGATTTTTGCCCATTTTTATTTTTTATTGAAAACAANTGTGAGCACGTGATTTTTGTTTACGCGACAATCACTCCAAAAGAAATAAAATAATAGCAAATGGTCTTGCTGTACAATTTTGAATTTTTACGTGGCACTTTGTTAATTATTTGTGATTTTCGCCCATTTTTATTTTTTATTGAAAACAAAATACAAAAAATGTGTCGTGTGTAGTTGAACCGTAATCCGGTTATTAAAAGGAAAAATCGCAAAAAATGCATCTTTCATTTTTGTCATTAAGTGATGTTATTTTAATTAAATGTTAATTATGTGTTAATTTTTGTTTTTATAGTATTATTTTTGACAAATTAATTAAGAGATTTAAGAAGAAGAGGGTTTTCGGATTGGGCCAATCCAATTTAAATAGGAACAAGCCCAAACCAAAACGACCCAATCCAACCAGGCCTTCTGCAAGACGCCCCAAACGACGCCGTATAGGCATCATCTCTTTGAGCCGTTGATTGATTAAAAGGAACGGCCCAGATCAAGCCAATCCTTTACCCAAACGACGCCGTATAAGGCCGTCTAATCTCAGCCGTTCAAACCAGGCCGATCTAACAGCCCTCGTCCCATCTCCTTTACCCGTTACCGGACCCGACCCAATGAAACCCGGTCTGATCCATCCCAGCATGAGAACAAACGACACCGTTTCTTTTAGTGGAAAGATCACAGCCGTTGATCAGTGGCTATCCAACGGCTAATATCAGATCACTTACCCCGTATATAAACCTTCCCCCTTCACCCCGCGCCTAAGCCAAACCCCCCTGCCTTAGTCATCCCCTTCACAAACCCAAAAACCTCGGAACCCTAGAGCCGCCCCCTTTCCCTTCACCATTAAACCCGGCGGCAAGGACGCCGGTGACCCCCACCTTAACACCCTAGGACCGCCTCACCGCCCTGAACATAGATCTGTTGTCCTTTTGTCTCGAATCAAACCCTAGGTTCTCGAATCTTCATTTGAAGATTCGAGCAAAATTCGATCTACACCGATCTACCCCAGGTTCATACCAGACACTCCCCTGACCTCCCCCGTGACCAAACCATGCTTGGTTT